GTGCTGGTGGTTTGTGTGCTGGTGGTTGTGTGCTGGTGGTGTGTGCTGGTGGTTGTGTGCTGATTGTGTACTGTGGTTGTGTGCTTGTGGCTGTGTGCTGGTTGGTACTGGTGGTTGTGTGTGGTTGTTGTGTGCTGGTGGTTGTGTGCTGGTTGTGTACTGGTGGTTGTGTGCCGGTGGTTGTGTGCTGGTGGTTGTGTACTGGTGGTTGTGTTCTGGTTGTGTACTGGTGGTTGTGGTACTGGTGGTTGTGTGTCTGGTGGTTGTGTGCTGGTGGTTGTGTACTGGTGGTTGTGTGCTGTGGTTGTGTGCTGGTGGTTGTTACTGGTGGTTGTGTACTGGTGGTTGTGTACTGGTGGTTGTGTGCTGGTGGTTGTGTGCTGGTGGTTGTGTACTGGTGGTTGTGTGCTGGTGGTTAGTGTGCTGGTGGTTGTGTGCTGGTGGTTGTGTGCTGGTGGTTATGTACTGGTGGTTGTGTACTGGTGGTTGTGGTACTGGTGGTTTGTACATGGTGGTTGTGTGCTGGTGGTTGGTGGTGTGTGGCTGGTGGTTGTGGTGCTGGTGGTTGTGTTACGGTGGTTGTTGTGCTAGGTGGTTGTGTGCTGGTGGTTGCGTGCTGGGTGTTGTGTACTGGTGGTTGTGTACTGGTGGTTGTGTGCTGGTGGTTGTGTACTGGTGGTTGTGTACTGGTGGTTGTGTACCGGAGGTTGTGTGCTGGTGGTTGTGTACTGGTGGTTTGTGCTGGTGGTTGTGTGCTGGTGGTTGTGTGCTGATTGTGTACTGGTGGTTGTGTACTGGTGGTTGTGTGCTGGTGGTTGTGTGCTGGTTGTGTACTGGTGGTTGTGTGCTGGTGGTTGTGTTCTGGTTGTGTTCTGGTGGTTGTGTGCTGTGGTTGTGTGCTGGTTTTGTACTGGTGGTTGTGTACTGGTGGTTGTGTGCTGGTGATTGTGTGCTGGTGTTGTTCGGTGGGTGTACTGGTGGTTGTGTACTGGTGGTTGTGTGACTGGTGGTTGTGTGCTGGTGGTTGTGTACTGGTGGTTGTGTGCTGGTGGTTGTGTGACTGGTGGTTGTGTGTAGGTGGTTGTGTGCTGGTGGTTGTGTGCTGGTGGTTATGTACTGGTGGTTGTGTACTGGTGGTTGTGTACTGGTGGTTGTGTGCTGGTGTTTGTGTGCTGGTGGTTGTGTACTGGTGGTTGTGTGCTGTGTGGTTGTGTGCTTGGTGGTTGTGTACTGGTGGTTGTGTACTGGTGGTTGTGTACGGTGGTTGTGTGCGGTGGTTGTGTGCTGGTGTTGTGTACTGGTGGTTGTGTGACTGGTGGTTGTGTGCTGTGGTTGTTGTGCTGGTGGTTGGTGCTGGTGGTTTGTACTGGTGGTTGTGTAATGGGTGTGTGTACTGGTGGTTGTGTACTGGTGGTTGTGTACTGGTGGTTGTGTGCTGGTGGTTGTGTGCTGTGGTTGTGCTGGTGGTTGTGTACGGTGGTTGTGTGTCTGGTGGTTTGTGTGCTGGTGGTTCGTGACTGGTAGTTGTTTTACTGTGGACTGTGTAACTGTGTTGTGTGCTGGTGGTGATGTACTGGTGTTGTGTACTAGGTGTTGTACTACCGGAGGTTACTGGTCGATTGTACTGGTGGTTGTGCTGTGGTTGCTGTCTGGTTTGTAAGCTAAGATTGTATACTGTGTGTGTACTGTGGTATTGACTGCGGTGTGTGCGGTTGTGTACATGTGGTTGTTCTGTTGGTTGTGTTCCCGTTGTGTTCTGGTGGTTGTGCTGGGTATGTGACTGGTTTTGCATGCAAATGGTTGTGTCTGGTGCTTCGTGTGCTGTGATGTGTGCTGTGATGTGTACTGGTTGTGGTAGGTGGTTGCTGTACTGGTGGTTTTTCTGGTGGTTGGAGCTGGGTTGGTGACTGGTTGTTAATACTGTGTTGTGTACTTTGAGTTGGTACTGGTGGTAGTGTAGCTGGGTTTTGTAATGGTGGTTGTGTCACTGGTGTTGTCAACTAGTGGTTGTGTACGGTGGTGTGACTGGTGTTGTGTACTTGGTGTTGTGTATGGTGGTATGTGTACGGTGTTTGTGTACGGTGTTGTGTACTGGTGGTTTGTATTTTGGTGTGTACATTGTGTATTTACTGTGGTTTGTACATTAGGGTTGTGTACATGGTGTTTGATGTACGGTAGTTTGTACTAGTGTTGATGTACTGTGGTTGTGTACTATGGGTGTGTACTGTGTTGTGTACTGGTTGTGTACCTGGTGGTGTGTACTGTGGTTGTGTAACTGGTGGTCGTGTGTACTAGGTTGTGTACTGGTGGTTGTTTTACTGGTGTTTGTGTACTAGTGGTTGTGTACTGTGGTTGTTACGGGTGGTTTTGTACTGGTGTTTTGTACTGGTTGGTTGTGTACTGGAAAGATGTAATTATTTGAAGCACTCCTGGAACTTAGAGTCATTAGGGATTTGGTGAAAGAATAAAATATTCGTACAAAAACCATCACATACCCATAACAATAAACATGTAATAAAAGGGGTTTTATGTCATACCTTAAAAAAATCAAGCTCAAGATTTCACCTAAATTTCCCGAAATCCCCCAAGTTATTTAAAAAAACCCTTTCTTTTACCTAAATCACCAAACGAAGCAGTTAAAAAAATTTTTGCTCAACCCCCACACCCCAAATCACTCATGGAGTAATTATTTTAGCAAAAACCAAAGGCCCCCTTTTTCCCTGCTCATTTTATACGTTCCCGACCCTAGAGCTGAAAATCTTCTTTAGGTGAGGGATGACCACCTCAAATATCTTTTCTCCAAGGGGATGGGGGAAAAGATTACACTTTTTTTCACTACACACCTTTTGCCTTTTATTTTCGAAGCCTACTGTGTAGGAGAAACGTTTCAACAATAAAGATGCGTGATCACGAATGCTCAACACTGGTACGTCAGCGGCTGCGTTATCATTGATGCTCAGCACCTGTTTGTAATCACTGAACGAGTAATCTCTTGACCAAGTTTTCGTGTCAACAGAAGTTTTTTTATCCTGATTTAAAATTACTACCACCATCCTCTTTCATTAATCTGAATGAAACCATCTGCTGCCACCTATGCAAGGTCAGATTCAACTAAATCACAGTCGCTAACAACCCTTCTACGCATCACGTCACATATGTTGCACTCTTGACTAGTTAACATAGGTGACCTGCCAACTCATCTACGGAGGAAGTGGGGCAGTGCACGACATTTCAACTTCCCCCCCACCCCTCCTACCAAGTAACCTTCTTTCTGTGATACTTTCTTCTGTTATCCTTGTTTTCCCAGTTTATTGGATCGACCGTTTCTGCACGCTGCATTTAGCAGTGGATTTTCCTTATTCTGTGTCACTGTGCTGTGTTTTCTTTAATGGATCATAATTTATCCTAGTATCCATCTTGTAAGATAGCTGCAAAGCCAGGTCGATTCTAAGGTACGGCTGATGAGAGGTCGGACTTCGATCACGAGTGGACCAAGGAAAGAGCCAAGAGGGAGAACCTCGAGGCCAGCAATAACTTGTGTAAATTATGGAGAAAGTACACCAATACTGAGAGCAATCCTAAGCCAGATCGTAAGCAAGGATACCGACCCCTCATAAGGGAGAACTCAAGTGTCACATGTCACCATTTCTTTAGTTTCACCTCTTGTATGACGTTACTGCTAGGTACAATACACCATGTAAAAATGGTTTAGACAACCGACCAGTTGATGAGTTAGACATATGTGCATCACTTGGGTCAATACATGTGTCTAACTCATCACAATACACCAAGCATCAACACACAACTTCAAGTGGATACAGTATCAGTGTATCAACTCATTCTCGTGAATTAGAGACCTCTGGGATAAGGAGTCAAGGGATGCAATACCTCCCTGATTAATGCTGTCTCTAGAATGGATTAGTGTGCCTCTTTTATTTCTGGTAACCGTTCACTTATATTTTTTACCACAGTCATATTTCATTTATTCTAATTTGCTTTGGTAAATTGTACATGTGTGAGGAATATCGGTGTTTGAATCAATAATTTTCTTTCTTTTTTCTGTGCAATATTACTTAGTTTTTTCTATGTCAGCATATCTGTGTCTGTATGAATTATCGTACCAATTATATATGGGGAAAGAATCTGCAAATTAGCCTGTTGGTGGATGGATTCGCTTTCTACTTTAGTTTGTGTGTCAAACCAGTTATTGTATGATATAAAGTAATCTAACTTACACCAGAAGTGTTCTAACAGAACACAGAGTTTCGTTAAGTGCTATCAACATATTTCCCAATGGGTAATTACATCAGGTGGAAAAATCTTGATCACTTTAAGTTCCTAATTAGAAAGGAGGGACAGAGTTAACCTTACTCCTTTCAGCTCTTACAAATATTACGGTTCCCATGAGTTATTATTACTATTATTATTATTGCTATTATATTATTATATATTATTATTAATTATTATTATTATTCATTTATTATTCCATCATACGAGGCATATTCGTGTGATGGAATATTTGTGGTCATCAGTATCACCCTGTTAACCAGGCTTTGATTCATTGGGAGACCTGGTATGGGACCGGGCTGCGGGGGCGCTGACCCCCGAGAACATCCATCGGACGTCCTTCAGGTATAATCTGTCACTGTTCTCACATGTCATGAACATCTCCCCCATCCTCATCACACACGTCATGAACATGTCGTTATCCTCGTCACACACGAAATGAACATGTCACATGTTTATTTTCACAAACGGAATAATTCAGTATTGGAATGGAATCAAAGTAGAATTTAATACCACGAGCAGAATGTGAAATGGAAGTGAATGATAAACAGAACTGATGATGGAACAGCACGAGGTCAGTGTTTTGTTGTCCCACACACACACACACACACACACACACAGAGAGAGAGAGAAGAGAGAGAGAGAGAGAGAGAGAGAATAGGAGAGACGAGAGAGAGAGAGAGAGAGAGAGAGAGAGGTACTTTTCTACTTACCGTTCATTTCGAAAGTCTGAATTCTTTTTTCTGAATGTTTCTACCAGTCCTAGTATTTCTTCCTGCGTGTTGCTCGTGTATCCTCGAGAGTTGAGGGGTGAAATCTGAAACTGAGCGAAAAATAGGGTCAAGTTGTTTTGTTTAAAGATATTAAATTTATTTATGGGGGGGGGGAAAGGAGGAGAGAGAGAGAAAGAAAAGGGAGAGAGGAGGAGAGAGAGAGAGGAGGGGGAAGAGGGGGGAGGGGAAGAGAGGAGAAGGGGAAAAGGAAAAAAAAAAACTTTGGGTTTTTAAAAAAGTTTAACCTTAAATAATATGTATCGTTAAAACCTACAAAAATTTACGATGTAAGCCTGGTCCTACTCTGAAAAACCACAGCAGCCCCAAGCACCAGCGGGCCCCCAGCAGCAGCCCCCAGCCGGGCACCAGCAGCACCCAAAGGCAAAGCACCAGCCCCGCAGCACCCCAGCGCAGCCCCGCACAGACAAAAAAACGCCCAGCAGCAGCCCCACAGCAGCCGCCGCCCACAACCACCACCCCCGCACAGCCCCAGCAGCCACCCCAGCAGCACCCCCAGCACCAGCACCGCCCCACCCCGCCCACCAGCCCCAGCGCCCCCCACAGCACCCAGCGCACCAGCACCACAGCCCCCAGCACAGCCCCACAGAAACCCCAGCAGAGCCAGACCAGCAGCAGAAGCCCAGCAGCCACCCCAGAAGCAGCCCCCCAGCACGCCCAGCACGCCCAGCACACCCCAGCACCAGCAGCGCAGCCCCAGCAGCACCCCCCAGCACCCCCACCAGAGCAAGCACCAGCAGCCACCAGCCCCCAGCGGCCCCCCAAACAGAAAGAGCACCAGCAGCACAGCAGCAGCGCACAGAAACCCGCAGCAGCCCCAGCAGCAACCCAGCAGAGCCCAGCACCCCGCACCAGACGCAGCCCACCAGCAGCCCCCCAGCCAGCCCCGCAGCAGCCCAGCGCACCCGCGCAGCCC